GTGGAAGGAGAAGTGAGAGGCTAGAAGGAGAAACTGGGTAGAGAGAGAGAGAGAGAGAGAGAGAGGTTAAAGAATTACTTGGGATCACCATCTTGTCTCTCCTCACCAAAAAAATGTTCTGGGTTAACTATACTGTATCGTGTGGCGTCTTGAGGAATAAACCCCACGGAAAAAATGGTCACTGGAGCTCTGCCTTAATGGACGAAGTTAACATAATTATTGCCGATATGTCTGTAAGGCAGGGGTGGCTCTCTCTCTCTCTCTCTCTCTCTCTCTCTCTCTCTCTCTCTAGATCTATCTTATGTTTCCTCCTTTTTTTTCTTTTCTTTTCACGTTTTCTTTCTTTTCTTTATGTCGGGTTTTTCTCTCACCCGTTCTTTCCCCTACCCACTTCATTCCATCTCCCCCCTCTCCTTTCCACACTCTTCCTCCCCATTACACCCCTCCCTCCTCTTCACCCCTCCACCGTCTTTCCTTCACCTTTCCTTCCTCCTTTCCTCTCCCCCCCTCCCTTTCCTCTCTCGTCCCCTCCACCTTTCATCTCTCCCTCCTCCTCCTATCCTCATCATCCACCCCTTCCTCCTCCTCCACACTTCCTCCCCTCCTCTCCTTCCATTCCCCTCTCCTTTCCACTTCCCCTCCCTATATCTCTCCTCTCCCCCTCCTATTCCCTTACCTCATCACCTAACAATTTTTTATAGCGTGGGTTTTTTATTGTGTTGTGTTCTCAGGTCTTTTATCAAGTTCCTCAACTAAATTTCAGACGATTATGGTTTTTAATACAGTGTGTGTGTGTGTAGCGCCTTTTGTCACCTGGAATACAAACTTGGCGTCGTTACCCTCAACTTGTGGCAATACCTCGCCCACCGCCAGATTTAAGTCACACTCCTTCCACACACACACACACACACACACACACACACACACACACACACACACACACACACACAAAAAGATTACCGCAGCGTCAGCACGGGCAATCAACAGCGTCCTGGTTATTCCTCCTTTTCCTCCTCGTGCGTACTTCAGCCAACACTGGACTAAGGATGAAACAGATCCAGTACGGGCGGTTGAGTAACAGACACACGTTAACACTCAAAGTAAGATTGACTGGAGGCCGACATGATAAACTTAACCGACTTATGCTATAAACTCTTCTGGTTCACGCCATAAACGCAGTGCCAGCTTGGGCAATCAGCAGCGCCCGGTTTATTCCTCAGTCCAGCAGTGATAGTCTTTAGTCGCGGGTCATTGAAGCAGCTGTGAGGAAACTTAGAGGAGGAGAACGTTCGTCTGGTTTTTGCCTTTAGTGGCCCTCCTTCATGGTCTGAGCGTCGGGCAGTGACACCACTTGATGGTCGTGGCTCTCTCGTCCTCCTCCTCCTTCTCCTCCACTCCCTCCTCCTCCTCTGCTGCTTCCTCCTTCTCTGCTGCCTCCTCCTTCTCTGCTGCTTCCTCCTTCTCTGCTGCCTTTTCCTTCTCTTTCACTCCCCCTCTTTTCTTCCGCTGCTTCCTCTTCCTCCATGCTCTCATAGTCTGCTTCTATCTGCCCCGTCGCTGTTCTCACTCAGTGTCTCCTTAATAATCATCTTCCCTGAGGGCGGGGGGGCAGTGTGGAGATAGGAAATGAGGAAGGGAGAGATAGAGAGAGGTCGGGAAAGAGGGAGGGAAGAAAGAGTGTAGGAGGTAGGAAATGAAGGGAGAGAAAGAACCGGACAGAGGAAGGGAAGGGAAATGAGAGAGAGAGAGAGAGAGAGAGAGAGAGAGAGAGAGAGAGAGAGAGAGAATTTTCAAGTTGGCACCTGTAAAATATGAGGTGACCAGCTAGTAAATATTCGAACTCAGCTGACTGGCGCACCACGGTCTTGGTAACATTATTTGCATACGTTAACGTGTTGAGTTATTGGACAGGCTCAGAGGAGTAAATTATCTTGAATATAATTAGTGACGACTTGTTATATACATTATGAAGAATTAAAAAATTATTCTCATTTTTTTTAGTTAATGTTTGAGTTATAAATTACTAAATAACTCAGACACAAAGTTATAAAATTATAAAAAGCAGATAGAGAAGATATAACCCTTAGATACATAGATATATAGAGCGTTTTAAATAACCAGTAAACCACAAAACTAATAACTCCTATATAAATATTATCCTATTAAGAAACGTGATTTATGGGAACATCCTTGTGAGATAGAGGAAGATGAGAGCAGCGGCATCCAGACACGGTTCACACGTGGCCTCTGTCTTGATCGATGAGGATAGTAGTATACTGACCATATGGTTCTTATACGTCAAAGGTGATGTTTGTAGGTTTATAACAGGATGTAAAGGAGGTAATAACTATGGTTGAGCGTGTTTTTGGTGCGTTGGGGAGGGGGGGGGAAGGGGGAGGGGGGGAGGGGTGGGGGGTAGATCAAATGGTATGGCGGTGAGCAAAGTTTACATTACAGAGTTGAGACCGAGTTGTGTTGACGCTTTCTTCCACTTCCCTCCTCAGGCATCATCATTGCTGTTTGAGGCTCTCTCTCTCTCTCTCTCTCTCTCTCTCTCTCTCTCTCTCTCTCTCTCTCTCTCTCTCTCTCTCTCTCTCTCTCTCTCACATCAACTCAACCATCCTTATAATTTATGCCATTGGAAGGAAAATTGTCGTGGCCAATCAAACTTCATTCACCCTCAATAGGGCTGGACCTCTGGTAAACCACGCCCCCCCTCCTCCCTAGCTTATGGAAGAGGGGAGGTTGATAGACCTTACAGAATCACACCTCCACATTCACAAAGACTCGTAATATTTTTCTACCTCCTGGCGGGGTATAAAGAGGCAATCAAACATCTCTTTCTATGGTAGATTCCCAGTGCCATTACGACGCCATTTTTTTTTGTTCACTATTTTTTGGTCGTTGCTAAAGAAAACTAGTTAGGGTATACACATCTATAGTGAAGAACAATTGTTTGACTTGCGGACGTCTTATCTTGTTATGGCAGAGACTCAGTGTAATTTTGACGCCATATTTGATTTTATTAAGGAGGAGTGTGTCGTAGTTAAAAGTTAATTAATTTTTTTTTTGTCGTATATACAGTGACTTTGGGTCCAAGTTATTGATACAAGGACACTGAATGACTAGTTTTTTGGTGTCCAATTTCCGTCAAGGAGAGAAAAAGGGAACACCAGTGTTTTAAGTATTTTGTGTGTAAGGTCGAGAAGATGTGTGTGTGTGTGTGTGTGTGTGTGTGCGTGTGTGCGTGTGCGTGTGTGTGTGTGTGTGTGTGTGTGTGTGTGTGTGTGTGTGTGTGTGTGTGTGTGTGTGTGTGTGTGTGTGTGTGTGTGTGTGTGTGTGTGTGTGTGTGTGTGTGTGTGTGTGTGTGTGTGTGTGTGTGTGTGTGTGTGTGTGTGTGTGTGTGTGTGTGTGTGTGTGTGTGTGTGTGTGTGTGTGTGTGTGTGTGTGTGTGTGTGTGTGTGTGTGTGTGTGTGTGTGTGTGTGTGTGTGTGTGTGTGTGTGTGTGTGTGTGTGTGTGTGTGTGTGTGTGTGTGTGTGTGTGTGTGTGTGTGTGTGTGTGTGTGTGTGTGTGTGTGTGTGTGTGTGTGTGTGTGTGTGTGTGTGTGTGTGTGTGTGTGTGTGTGTGTGTGTGTGTGTGTGTGTGTGTGTGTGTGTGTGTGTGTGTGTGTGTGTGTGTGTGTGTGTGTGTGTGTGTGTGTGTGTGTGTGTGTGTGTGTGTGTGTGTGTGTGTGTGTGTGTGTGTGTGTGTGTGTGTGTGTGTGTGTGTGTGTGTGTGTGTGTGTGTGTGTGTGTGTGTGTGTGTGTGTGTGTGTGTGTGTGTGTGTGTGTGTGTGTGTGTGTGTGTGTGTGTGTGTGTGTGTGTGTGTGTGTGTGTGTGTGTGTGTGTGTGTGTGTGTGTGTGTGTTTTAACTCACGCTTGTATATACATAATCACTTTTTTTATAAATATTCAACATAACCAAAAACAATATCATTATCACACTCTCTCTCTCTCTCTCTCTCTCTCTCTCTCTCTCTCTCTCTCTCTCTCACCAGATTAACATTCCTCCTGATCATTCTCCCTCAGACAGGACGTAACCTAAACAACATTAGGAGGGGCAGGAGACACCAGCAGTCTGCCTCACACCATTACCTGATTACCTCTTACAGACGCTCTGCCCGGGGCTGGAAAACTCAACGTTCACCAAGTTGTTGTTGTTTTTTCCCTTCAGACACGTGATAAGAGAACGAATCTGGTAAATGAACGCGTCTTGGTTTAATGAACGCTAGACAGTCAGCGTTTCACACACACACACACACACACACACACACACTATATGAGTTCTGTTCGACTTGACAATTTTTGCTATGTTGTAAAGTGAGAAAAAAAAATCGTATGTTAACTCTGGAATCCCTGAAGACGTTTTTCTAACATTTGATCATAAACACTCGAGTCTTTGGTAGGTGTTTCAAGTCTCTTCGTCTGTCAGTTCTTTATATTTCTATCATAAAATGTTTATACTTTTATTTAATTTTTTACTGAATATTGATTATTTGGTATATGATAATTTATTCATGTTTTGTCTATTTAATTATTATCCATACATGTTTATTATTCTTGTGGTGTTTACTTAATTATAATGCATACCTTCTTCACCTACTTTATTATTTAATCTTCCTCTTCCATCTCCTTATTTATTAAACCTCCTCTTCCATCTCCTTATTTATTAAACCCCCTCTTCCATCTCCTCTATTATTAAACCCCTCTTCCATCTCCTCTATTATTAAACCCCTCTTCCATCTCCTTATTTATTAAACCCCCTCTTCCATCTCCTCTATTATTAAACCCCCTCTTCCATCTCGTTATTTATTAAACCTCCTCTTTCATCTCCTTATTTATTAAACCCCCCTCTTCCATCTCCTCTATTATTAAACCCCCTCTTCCATCTCCTTATTTATTAAACCTCCTCTTTCATCTCCTTCATTATAATTTACCTGTTTTCCCTCTCGCGTTACAGACCTGTTGATCGAGGTGCTGGGGGTACTGACCAGCTATTCCATCACCGTCAAGGAGCTCAAATCTCTCTTCGGCTCCATGAAGGCTGACAGGGGACGATGGGTGAGTTCTAGCCAGTCATGTTGTTGTTATACTTTTTCATATCCTGGAAGTCCTGTGGGAATTTTATGAATCCTGTGTGAGTTATGTGAATCCTATATGAGTTTTGCGTATCTTAGTTGAGGTGTGTGAGTTTTATGAATCCTGCTGTAGACCATTGAATCCTATACGGTTCAATTCTGCTGAAGTCCTGAACATCTCCTACGTGTTATCCTGTTTTAGTATGAATCCTGAGGTATACCTGCTGTTGGGCTTTCGAATCCTACGACTCATCAAGCTGTAGTCCTATAAATCCTCTTTGTTATCGTACTGGGAGTCCTTGTGAAGTGTATGAGTGTTATGTTATTCTGGTGACTTGTAATTGACCTTTTCGAGTTACGTTACCGAGTTCACTGTCATCTCATCTTGGTGCTCCGACTTGTCATCACAGCCTTCATGCTTGTGTCCTTCCTCCTCCTTCATTCTTCTTCTTCCTTAGTCCTCCTCCTCCCCGTCCCTCTTCTTCATCTTCATCATCCTTCTTCATCTTCCTCTTCCGTCTTCATCATCCTCCTCCTCCATCATCATCATCATCATCATCATCATCATCATCATCATCATCATCATCATCTTCTTCTGCGGTGGTCTTGGCACGCCTACAGATGTTGTGTGAATTAGGAAGGTGTTGGGGGGGAGGAGATTAAGTCTAAATTTGCATAAACCACTGGACACGACTACAACACTTGCCACACCTGCTGTTTCACGCTGATTACCTTCCTTAAACTCACCTGTTCTCTCACTTCAGGTCAGTGTTGGGAACTTGGGAATAACCACACACCTGTTCTCTGTGTCTGAGATTACACCACACCACACCACACCACACCAGTTGGAAGACTTGGGTGTTGTACTGGCCGTAAGAGCACCATAACCTATAGTATACTGTCCCTGGAACACCATAACCGTTTCTGAGCACCATAACCGTCTCTGGGGCACCATAACTATAGTGTACTGTTCTTGGGAGCACATTGGGAATGAGACGCGTGTATGGTTGCACAGTCACGAAAATATGGCCACCAGGAAGCGAAGTTGCATCAATTGAATAGCAATTAGTTAGATCCGACGTGATCCTGGCTAGTCCGGGTAGCGATCCCTTCCGGAGCCTGCTGGAGGAGCATTTGATCCATGGATCATACACTACAGTACTGGCTTATTCCTCCACGTAGCTTTGTTCATTCACTGTAGTACCTGGGTGGAAAGTGGGGTGGAGGGTAGGGTAGAGTGGAGGATGGGGTGGAGTGGAAAGGATGATAGGGTGCAGTGGAAAGGATGGTGGGGTGGAGGGTAGGGTGGAGTGGAGGATGGGGTGCAGTGGAAAGGATGGTGGGATGGAGGGTAGGGTGGAGGTGGGAGCGACGTTTTAAGCTGTTCCGGACTCGGTACAATTTGGGGTTTCTATTGTACTGTACCGGGATTTTGTCTCTTGAGCTACCGGGATTTTTATGTACTGGGGGTTTTCTTTGTTACTGGGAATTTTATTGGTACTTTATCCATAAATGTAACCGCTTTAATTACTGGGAAATTCAATATCACCGGTATCAACATCACCAGTAACCACATCCTCACCAGAACCCAACAGATCACCAGTACCACACCAGTACATAACTATAACCTATATCCCCATGTCACTACCGGTACGTCCACAATTTAGCTAGACTCCGTTTACCGGTAGCTAGAGAAGGCTACCGGTAATCCTCGTGACAGGAACTTGGACTGCCTCCTAGTTTTATCCCGGTAGGTCAGTTACTTTGGGTCAGGAATTAACTGATCAAAGGCTTGAATATACGACTGACTGATACCTGATACTACACTCACTCAAAGGCTGAAGCTGAGTCTCTCTCTCTCTCTCTCTCTCTCTCTCTCTCTCTCTCTCTCTCTCTCTCTCTCTATCCTCTCTCTCTCTCTCTCTCTCTCTCTCTCTCTCTCTCTCTCTCTCTCTCTCTCTCTCTCTCTCTCTCTCCATTAACTGTGTGTTTATGTTCTATTTACTTACACTTTCAAGACTGCGAACAAACAATTGACCTCTGACCTTTAACCTCCCACGAGAGATTTGCGTATGATGTGAGATTAAGACCCCGATTGTGTGTGTTGGGTAAGGGGTTAAACAAAGAGGTGAAGGTCTTGAAGAGTCTTAGCTGAGTCAAGAGAAAGAAGTTTTAAGAGGAATAATAAAGAGGTTAGTTATGTTAAAGGTTAAGGAAATAGGTCTTTAGGGAGGTTAGGGACAGTGTGGGTGTAGGTTATTGAATACTAAGCCTTCGGTACACAAGGAGGCAGCATGAACCGGCACTGCACTCGATCACCTTTACTTCCCCAACTGTAAAATCGGTTATCTATTTACATCTGGGTGATTTGGCAGATATTAGATGCATATTATAGACTTTACAGGTCATGAGAAAGATTATAGATGCAGCTCATAGACTCTTCAGGTCATGAGAAAGATTATAGGTGTCTCTTATAGTCTTTTCTGATATTGAGAAAGATTATAGATGCAACTCATAGACTCTTCAGGTCATGAGAAAGATTATAGGTGTCTCTTATAGCCTCTTCTGATAATGAGAAAGATTATAGACACTGCTGATTATGATTGGTGATTAGACTCAGACTATAATGTCAAACTTGGTGTCGTCTGATTTTTTTTTATGTGAAATAAGACGAGCTACAGCTAACGAACCTGAGCAAGAGAGAGAGAGAGACAGAGAGAAAGAACAAGGGAGATGGTGCAGGGATGGTAAGCAAGACTCAGATCAGAGGGAAGGAAGGAAGACTCTCTCTCTCTCTCTCTCTCTCTCTCTCTCTCTCTCTCTCTCTCTCTCTCAGTTGTTTAATGAGAAAATACTTGAACTGTATTTATCTTCAAACCTCATTAACCCGCTGAGGGGGAGGAGGTCACACAAACCTTATTTTTCTTAAGGCGATAATTGGCTGGTTCATCCACCCTCCCCTCTTCCCTCACTTGTTCATTTTGGCGACCGAGTTGAGAAATGACACACACACACACACACACACACACACACACACACACACACACACACACACACAGAGAGAGGTATACGCTCGTTATCGCACGTACACATCCCAGCCACGCATACAAACGTACACACGGATAAACATTATTAATTAGGTTATCTATGTACTGTAATTATATTCCATTGTGGGTAGAATTCTCTCTCTCTCTCTCTCTCTCTCTTTCTCTTTACAGACAGACATTTAGATAGAAACGTAACTTGAACGCCACCAAACCTTGAACACTACATAAATTGAACGTCACTAACCATGAACGCCACTAAACTTGCTTTCCGGACACTACAAACACAAACATAACCGGATCACATCTTGCTGTACCGAGAACCGAACAAGCTTGATTACCTGCCTCCTGCACCAAACATCTTAGACCTGAACGATTATGTCCTGGAATACCTACTACACTCCAGGTCGTCCCCAGGTCCAATCCCCATGACCTGAAGCAGCCACCGACCCAGGTTTTCCCCAGGTCCTGACGCAATCCCCATGACCTGAAGCAGCCACCAACCTTAGGTCATTTCTAGGTCATTAAAGTCTCCCTAACCTGAAACACCCACCCTCTCAAGTCATTCCCAGGTCATGACACACCCCCATGACCTGGAATACCCACTAACCCAGGTCATCCCCTAGGTCAAGACACACACACACACCCATGACCTGGAACATCCACCAACTCAGGTCATCCACCAGGTCATAACACACCCCATGACCTGAACTAGTACTACCCACTAACCTTGGTCAATGTCGAACTTAAAATATAAAATAACGCCCTCTCTTGACCTGTTATAATAGCGAGTGAGGGAGGCACACAACCTAGTTATAGAGTATTATCGGGGAATCTCATTTAGCCAGGTCATTAGCGGCCCGATGGATCCGTCCACGCTCTAATTTGAAATATTTACGGCCACGCACCCCTGATACCACACCACCGCCACGACGTGATGCTCCTGCTGGTGTCGCTGCTGGTGGTGGTGGCGGCGGCTGGATAATGATGTTCAGGGTCACAGAGTCTTTACCTGGGTTTCTCTCTGTGTGTGATGTTGTTAACTTGTGTTTGTGTTAATAAAGAGGAGGAGAAGATGAAGTTGATATTGTAAGGTTAATGATGTTTAGTGTGGTGTTGTGAAGAGTTTATGTTGATGTTGTGAGTTAATAATGTTTAGTGTGGTGTTGAGAAGGGTTTAAGTTGATGTTGTGAGTTAATGATGTAAAGTGGTATGGTTAAAGTTAATTTTAGATTTGGTTAATGTTAATGTATTGTTAAGAAGGGTTTAGGTTGATATTGTCAGTTAATGATATTATACAGTAATTTGAAAGCGTTATTCATATCATACATTTTCAGCCAGGAAATCAAAGGGTTAAACATTGCCGCACCTGGAGGTCAAAGGTAAATTATTCAGGACCTTATTTCTGATTCTTGGCGTTGCTTGTCCGGGATCTCATTAAGTCTGCCCAGTCCTTGTCCATTCTCTCATCAAGTACCGACCCAATTCTCCAAAAGTGTAGAGCGAATTTCTTTCTTGTTAACTCTAGATTTTTTTAGTTAAAGGAAATTTTTCGAGATAATTTTTAAACTGCGCAAGAGACGAGAGTAATAGTTATTAATGTATGATTGTAATTCATTGTAATTTGCATATGACTTGACAGTAGTGATATGACTTGCATTCAAATTTAGTTCTGTCGTTCTGATATTTTTTTAAGTCATAATAAAGATGGTGGGAGTACATTTTGGTGTTTGATAATAATAATAATAATAATAATAATAATAATAATAATAATAATAATAATAATTATAATAAAATAGCAGTAAAGACAATAATAACAATGAATTAAGATGTATAAATACTGTAATTTTTATTGAAATAGAAAACGTAAAACTAAAAATATATAATAATTTAATCATAGCTGCATTAGTAGATAATGCTATAAAACATTTTGGTTAT